GGTCCAGTACTTTCTCTACCACAAACTCTTCAGGTTCTGCTTCCTCAACTTTTTTACTTTTTCCATTTTGTTTCTCTCCCATTTTTTGCAATGTAGTTTTATTGGAGGCCATTTTTTTCTGCAGACTTGAAGAGTTCACCGCCTCGGATGCTCGGTCGCGGGTCCGCAGTCTCGGCCTGCTCGCCTGTAGCTCCACTCGCCGTAATTCAGATTATTTTGTGCCATCGCTCAGCAATGTGGCTAGGATGTTCCTCAGGGACATGATATACTCTTTAGATCCCTGAGAAATTCCAAATTCCAAAGAAAGATGGAATCTACCAGATAATGGAGATGCCCTTGAACTCTGTTCAGGAATAATACTAGCATTGTGTTGTCTTATTTTCCAGGTGCATACGTGCTGCAGGTCAAGGCCACAGATGCAGATGACCCGACCTATGGAAACAGTGCTAGAGTCGTTTACAGCATTCTTCAGGGACAACCTTATTTCTCTATTGATCCCAAGACAGGTAAATTTTTTATTAGAGACAGCATCATCATTGCTCCTTCAAATATTTAAGCTTTAATTAAATCTTGGCATGGGAAATTGCCTCTTCTAATACAGCAATAAAGATTCAGTGAGCCGCACATTAAGCAAATAAGATAACATCTTACCTGCTGGCTGCAGAACTATTTCCCTTTGATTGAGCTTTGTGTAAATATCAGTCTTTTCCCATTATATTTGTGGAGTACCGACTTTTCAACTTGGGGTTCTCTGTCTTATTTTAAATTTTCAGACATGCTTTTAGTGAGGATAAAGAGAGACTTGTCAGATCTGAAACAAGATCATTGGGGTTCTTAGCCAGTGTCTTTAAAACAAATTTCACTTCTAAAGAAAAAGAGGAAATAAATTGCAGATTTTATAACCAAGTGTAATTTGGATAGCCTGGAATGTGCAGGAGGATATGCATGCACCTAGGGAGATTTTATATGCATTCCCATTAACCTTCTTCTTTTTGACATACTGGGAGCGGAACCCTAGCAAATATGCTATCACTGAGGTGTACCCCATGGCTTAAGCTCTTTTTAACTGAAGCAAAGTCCCTTTCAGTCCAATCTGTTTTAGAATGTTGAATTTTTTTAAAGAGTTTCAGTGACATTGACCTGAGAAAAGGTAGCTAGTCCATGTCATAATCAAAGTGAAATACCAAATGAGTCATTCCATCAACACTTCTTACACTGTACAATATTAGATATTAAAAATGAATGAAATACTATTTTTCACATTATATTGGACAAATTATCCACCTAATAGATTAAGTTATCCTTTTGTGTGTGCTTCAAGTGGTTGAACACAAGGAACTCTTAAATTTCATCATAATTTTCTTTTCTTTTCTTTTCTTTTAGTTTAAAATTTTGTGATACTGTCTTACTAAACTATTCAGGCTGGCTGCCCACTTGTAATTTTCCTGCTTAAGCTTCCTAAGTAGTATTAATTATATGCATGTATTCCCCATTCATGCAATTTAAATTTATTAATTAATCATTAAAGACTAAAATCAATGTTAAAGTTATATGCTGTATAAGACACACAAGCATAATGGGCTAACCATTTCAAAATTTTTATGGCCAATGAGGTAGATTTATAATACCTATGACATAGTGATAATTAACAATTAAGCATTTATTAATGTTACATAGAACATACAGTCCATTAATGGTTGTCAATTAAAATAGAATTGCAGAACCAGCAAAATTTTCAATGAACTGAACACAAGATTGTCTCCTGTCCTCACTGTTGCATTCCTCAGTGAGTCAGAAGGGTATTAAACCTGGGGAAGCAGGGAGTCCCTTCCTATGTACTCTTTAAAGAAGAATAGAGTTTATAAAAGGACACGTGAGAACTTCAAAGTTGCCTAAGTAGCATGGGCTAGGTGATCTCTAGAAGGCATAAGCCTCCTGTAGTTTGACAGAGTGCTGAAAATCAAAAGTCAAAGGGTGAAATGATACCAGTGAGTGGGTGAGAGGAACACGAAACTGCAGGTGATTTTCAAAAATAGTGGCAATAAATATAGGAGAGCATATGGAAATATTAATTTCCAGATTTACCTTAAAGAGAAATCTGACTAGGCGTAGATATATGGATGCCAGGACCTACTGCTACTCTGCGGACTAGTCCTCAGAGAAAGGAATACTGGAAAAAAACAGAAAAGACAATGTGTTACGTTTGTGAAGAAATAAGAACCTTTTGGTGATATTTTGTCTGTTGAGTATCATTACTTCCATGGTAATGATACCCAGTGTATTAAGTAGTGGAAGTTGTAATTTTTTTCTACTTCTTCCTCTTCTTTTATTTTTTTTTAATATAGAAGAGAATCTGGATTAAGGTGCTCCTGTTGAGTTGCAGAGAGGAATTTTAGAGTCTGAGAATGTATATATTTAGATTAAGAGCAATCAAACAAGGATTAAAGATTAAGTATTGCTAAAACTCTGCATGATATAAATAAAATCAGTAGGCAAGGGGGGCCTGGGATGAGAGAAATGCAAAGGAGGGGAGGGGACAGGAAATGAATGGGATCCAGTTGAGACATGGCTATGCACCTATTCTTCAGAATGAATAAATACATTAGGTATTACAAACATACATTAATAGAAATGTTAAGAAAATAAGGGCCAGCCAAATAGCTCAATGGATTAAAGCACCTGCAAGCAGGTGCATGGGCTGGGGGTTGATCCCCAAGCCTGCCACGCTGGTCCCGGCCCCAGGGTGCGTTCAGACAGCGATTGAGCCTGGGCGTGGTGGCGCATACCTGCTATCCCAGCTCTTGGGAGGCTGTAAACAGGTGGATCACTATGAGTCTGATATAGTCGTGAGACCCTGAACACTCTGTAGGCCCTTCCCTAAAATAAAATAAAAGAAAAAAGGTTAAGTAGAACTTAAACACAAGGCCTGAGCTAAGAACATAAATTCCATAGTCAGATTACTAACAGATGATATCAGTGATGTGACTTAGAACGTATGCTGTCCACTTCCCCTGGTTAGTATAAAATCTAGATTAATTCCAATGGTTGTGAAAATCATTTTACGTTAGAATACGTGTATACTTATTACGACTTTGTGGATTTGCATTTATATTTTTATAAAGTGATTCTTATTTGGAACTAAAGGTGAAACAGTTCTAGCGTAAACTTCCTAATAGATTTTTGAAGCATTGATTTTCAGTGGAGACAGAAGTCTTGATGGCCACAGTGGCTCAGCCCACTAGACAGGAAAAGAGTAGATGAGGAGGCACTTCATTAAGAGCACAGAATCTAGCACTCCGTTTAGAGAAACCATTAAGAAGACTTTTGGCCAATTTATCACCTTGCGGTGGATGAAAGTAAATCAGAAATCAAGGATGAGTGCAGTTTCTCAGAAATTGTCTCCATTTGTTCCAGCCATAGAGCTTCCTTTTATGGTTCCTTTTGCTGTTATTAAATAAAATGCATGAAAAGCCAATGTTATCTGAAATTTTCCACATTGGAGCATAAAAACAGTTTAAAACAATTTTTCAAAGAACAGTCTAATCACAACTTCAGATGCCTAAATATTTAGGTAGACATAAATAAAGCCATTTTTATTCATTTCAAATGAAACATTAAAATGGATTTTTCTGTACTGATATTTCTGTTTGATAAATATTTCTAAAATTTCTAAGCAGATAGAGCACACTATTCCTAAGCATGTTTGCAGCATTAGCAGTAATGAATGCATTTCATGAAAAAAATCAAGAAGTAAATGCTTCTCCTAAAAATTGTCTTATTTGCAATTCATTAAGTAAGAAATAATGTATTTCAATGCATTCATTTAAGTGTCTCAAATTAGCATTAAATGATATTTTAAAAGTGTATAATTAAATCTGTAAAACCTTAAACAATTACAGTAATTATAGTTCACCTTTGTAAAATATAAGTGATTATTATATTAACATTGTTTCTTTTTATTATATAAATTATCATACTTAATGATCACAAACAATGAAAAACATTTATAGTTCATGAAACATTAAATAAGAGTAAAAATAATGTGACACTTTGGTGATATTTTTCAGTACATAAATCAGGATGCTATATACCTTTATAACATTATTAGAGATTTACTGCATTAAGAAAATAAACATTGTTATAAATAATTAACCCTTGTGGCCTACTTTATGATGAAAATTCTTACAAAAGGTTTATATCCTTTCACAAATTATGACAAGTAACTAGCCTGAGGTACATAACCAATAATTAGTGCATTTTATGTCCTGTGATAATGATGACTTACTTTTTAATTATTCTGAGCCCTTTTGGAGAAATTAATATAATATTTTTATTACAATTTCTTTTCCATAAACATCACTTTTTCCATTGTGATAAATAATAAAATATAGAACATGTGATTTGACCGGTTTCATTGTGCGGGTTGGTTGTGTGCCCATCACCACAGTTTACCTACACAATTTACCTAATTGGATTTTTCATTAATATCTTTTATTTACATGTTGAGTAGTGAACAAATGTATAAATTTCTGTGTGTTTTTAATTCTTTTTCAGAGTTCCAGTTAGAACAGCTGAGGAATATGGAGTTAAGAAAGTTGCTTTTTCTCCCATTATTTATAATTTTATTTATTCATTTATTTGATACAGGGTGTCACTATGCAGTACAGACTCATAGTGATCCTCCTGTCTCAGCCCCCCCAGCCCTGGGATTACAGGCGTGCCCCATCACACGCTGGTTTGGGGCTGGCATGTATACCTGGGGTTCCGGGGCTGGCAGGGCATACAGTACCAGGGAGCAAACTCTGGTCCTTGTGCTTGCTGGCAGACACTGAGACCACTGAACTGTCTTTCCAGCTTTTTTCCTCTATTCTGCTATTTCATTCTGTATGATTCTGTCCTAGATTCTATTCAGGGACATCTGATAAAAACTTATCCACATCGCTGATACATGCTTAAGATTTTTGTTGTTGATAATATCAACCTTCACTTAGAGATAATCTTCAAGCCTTTGTACTAAAGGAAACACCTTCCTATATCCTGAATAATATTTATTCTTTAAAATTTCAAAAAGGTTGGTGAAGGCAGGGAAAAGATATATTTTGGGGCTGGGGAGATAGCTCGGTAGAATAAGTGTTTGCCTGGCAAGCACAAGGGCCTGAGTTCAATCTCCAGTTCCTCTAGGAAAAAAAAAAGTTGGTGCTTTAAAGGTTCATAATAAAATTCCAACATGGACTGTACTAGATATTGTGAGCCAATATTTTACAGTCCTACACACACACTTATCACTTTTACAGCTTGGAAATTATTTTGCAAGAAATTAAAAACAAAATTTTGCAGAAATCAGATGTCTCAATTTGCACTATTGAAGCAAGATACTTTTTTCTTTCTTTTAATGGCAATATAAAAGAGCATTTTCCTACAAAATACTCTGTTTCAACTCTTTTACTGCGGCAGGCTCAGCCTGCCCTGGGGATGGGGCTTGCATGACGTGTGACGCTGGCAGTCA